AGCAAACATTTTGAAAATTAGCCAAGTGTGGTGATGCACACCTGTGATCCCAGCTACTTGGGAGGCTGAGGTGGGAGGATCACTGGAGCTCAGGAATTTGAGGCTGCAGTGAACAAAGCTGTGTGACAGATCAAGACCCTGTTTCAAAAAACAAAACAAAATAAAACTCTAATGGCTCCTGCAAATACCATAAACACCCTCCATCTCTGGCAATCATAAAATGTTTGTTAATGTATTACCTGTATTTGTATATTTAAAATATTTTATAATATTTCAGCCTGGACAACATGTAAGAGCCTGTCTCATTCGTGTGTGTGTGTGTGTGTGTGTGTGTGTGTGTGTGTGTGTGTAAAATAAGCAAAAGACCTGGTCCCTGTGCTCAGCAGTGTCATGCACTGGTTGTGTATAGTGTATTCCAGAAATAACAGTACAAATGACATGTATTTATTTGTGTCAGTAGGAATTTAAAGGAGGAAGAGAATTATGGCAAGAATAATTGGGAAGTTTTTTCAGAGCAAGTGGGAATTGAACTGATCCTAGAAAAATGGAAAATATTTGAGTAAGAAGCAGATTTATGTGGTGGCTCATGTCTGTAATCCCAGCACTTTGGGAGGCCTAGGTGGGCGGATCACTTGAGGTCAGGAGTTTGAGACCAGCCTGGCCAACACATTGAAACCCCGTCTCTACTAAAAATATAAAAAAATAGCTGGGCATGGTGGCGGGCACCTGTAATCCCAGCTACTCAGGAGGCTGAGGCAGGAGAATTGCTTGAACCCAGGAGATGGAGGTGGCAGTGAGCCGAGATCACGCCACTGCACTCCAGCCTGGGTAACAGAGAGGAACTCCATCTTTTTAAAATAAAAAAAAAATGGTCTCTAGAAGTTTCAAAGAAAAGAACTTGCTAGATGCCAAGGTGAGTGACGAGGTTGGGCAGCTAAAGAAGGAAGAAAGTGAACAAAGTTGCTCAATATAGGACTCCATGGAGGTTGTATGCTGGGAGCTCAAGAGGTGTCATTCACATAGTCTCCAGGGTTAGGCAGGCACAACTGTATCTGGTGGCTCTGGCAGAAGAGTATTGAAAAAACAAATAATTGGAAAGATTGAAATGCTGGCCAGAGAAACTTGGACTTTGTTTATAAGAAGTGGGGAACTATAGCAGTTTCTTGAGAGAAAAAAAGATAAATGATAGTGATGTGGCTAAAAATACCAGCTTTGGAGCTAGATAAAAATTTGTTTGATTTTTGGCTATACTTCTTACTAGTTAATATGATTTGGGGAAAGTTACTTAAGTTTATTAAGGCTCAGTTTTCTTATTTGCAAAATGAGTATAATAATATTTTCCTTGTAGAATTATGGTAAGGATTATTTGAGACAATGCGTGTAGTGCTTGGCACAAAGTCAGTGCTCAGTAAACGGTGTTTGATGATAATAAGTGTTTCCAAAATTTCAAACGGCAGTGGTATACAAGATTGGGGGAAGAGAGTGGTAACTGATTTTGATTTTAAGTGGATGTTTACCTTAGTTGTGAAACCAATTGACATATTGGTATGGAGTGACAAAGGCATAAGCTGTGGTTTTTGGAATAGAAGGCATAAGTTGGAACACAAACCTGTATTTTATCTCATCTGTGACACCATTGATTATAAGATGTGCTGTTATTTGTGTACTATGAAGAAAGAAGAAACAATGATGCATGTTGACACAATGCTATCACTTAGAATTTTTATTTTCTACTCATTGAAAGAGCTCTTTCTTAGACATAGCTTTTAATCATATATCATTTTTGTGTATATATAAAAAGGAAAATATTGAATTACTTCTTGTTTCAGTCATTATTATCTGTGTTTTTTCATGTAATATTGTCTTCTGTGGCATCGTGAAAACGGGCAATGCTGTATTTCTTTTAAAAGTGCTCTTTCATTGTCTCTGATTTTCCCCCCCAAGCAGCAACAGGTTTGATGCAAGTGCTTTTTTTTTTTTTTTTTTTTTTGAGACAGAGTCTCGCCCTGTCACCCAGACTGGAGTGCAGTGGTACAATCTCAGCTCACTGCAGCCTCTCCCTCCTGGGTTCAAGCAATTCTCCTACCTCAGCCTCCCAAGTAGCTGGGATTACAGGCAACCACCACCACACCCAGCTAATTTTTGTATTTTTAGTAGACAGGGTTTCACCATGTTGGTCAGGCTGGTCTCGAACTCCTGACCTCAGGTGATCTGCCCGCCTCAGCCTCCCAAAGTGTTGGGATTACAGGCGTGAGCCACTGCGCCTGGCGGTGCTTCTTGATCTTACCAGAAATTGTCATTGGGAAGGTTATAGACAACGGTCAAGACTCACATTCTCTTCTCAAATGGTGCTAAATGATTTGTTGAGTAAAAAGGCCAGGGATAGCAAACATGTTCACATGGCTGCAGGCAGTGACAGCTATGCCCTGTTGTTGCCTTGTCCATAGCAATTTTAAGATGTATCCCCGTTTCAGAAGACTGACAAATATGAAAGAAAAATGCAACTCAGAATTAATAGATCAGATAGAATTAAAACACGAGGTCAGTAATTCTGAGAAAGTTACTTAACTTTAGTAAGCAAGCTTAGATAGAAGTGCTTTGGTTATACCTGAAGTTGTTTTGTTGCAAATTACTTAGGGATGCTCTACCAGCACTAAAAAACAAACAACAAACAAAAACAAGATATTTTAAAAGAATTATATAGCACTGATAAACTGACTCATAAAAATGACTAAAATTGTTTGAAACTGGCTAATAAAGAAGTAATAACCTAATGATTTTCCATTTTTGAATGCCAGGTGTTTCTAAAAGCCAGATGAAGTTTGTTTTTATTTTAAAATTATTAGTTATTTATTTTTGAGACAAGGTCTGGCTCTGTCACCCAGGCTGGAGTGGCACGATCTCGGCTCACTGCAACCTCCACCTCCTGGGCTCAAGCCATCCTCCTACCTCAGCCTCCTGAGTAGCTGGGACCACAGACATGCACTACCATGCCCGGCTAATTTTTGTATTTTTAGTGGAGACGGGGTCTCGCCATGTTGCCTAGGCTGGTCTCAGATTCCTGGGCTCAAGGAATCTGCCTGCCTCAACCTCCCAGTGTGCTGGGATTACAGGTGTGAGCCACTGCACACAGCCTGTTTTTCTAAAATGATCATTCTTCCTATTGGCTTATACCTAATATAAGGATTTAACCTTATAAACTTTGAAGTTCTAAGACCTTCAAAGGTAGGTATATTAGTCCTTTACTAATACATCTACCTAAGAAGGTAGGGTATTAGTCCGTTTTCACACTGCTATAAAGAACTAACTGTGACTGGGTAATTTATAAATAAAAGAGGTTTAATTGACTTATAGTTCCACATGGCTAGGGAGGCTTCAGGAAACTTAATCATGGCAGAAGGAGAAGCAAGGCACCTCTTACATGGTGGCAGGAGAGAGAGAGACAGAGAGACAGGTGCAGGGAGGGAATGCCAGGGGAACTGCCAAACACTTTTAAACCATCAGCTCTTGTGAGAACTCACTATCACGAGAACAACATGGGAGAAACTACCCCCATGATCCAGTCATCTCCCACCAGGTCCCTCCCTCAACATGTAGGGATAACAATCAAGATGAAATTTGGGTGGGGACACAGAGCCAAACCATATCACTAGGCTTGTAAGATTCATTTTTGTGTGTGTGTAAGTAGGCAGCATAAATACTGTCTAGAATACATAAACATAGCAGAAAATATAATCCTGTAAAGTTGCTGTGGCAACATCAGCTGCTTATGTTGCAATAAATATAATGGCAATACTTTTTGAAACTTTTTTATTAGAGACCAGGATACAACTGCATCTCTGGAAAGATAATGAGTCTACCAGTTTGTGCTATTTTTCTCTCATCCCCTTAGTTATTGACCTACTTGGAGGATTCTTCAGCTGCAGAAGTTGCATTATGTAGCCAGTAATAATATTTATTTTTCCAGGTGCTTGGGGTAGAGTATGGGAATTTTTCTTTTTTAATCCACATAACGAGATAGTTATAAGGAAGTGTGTAGAGTCCAGCCCACTCAGCAGACAACCCAGGATTCAAACATTGTTGGAAATTCTAGACAAACCTCATTTTCTCTTCCATTTTTTTCCCTAAAATAGTGCCATTATATTGATAGAGCCCATTATATTGGTGGTTGGAGGACCCAGCATCTGTCCACCCTTTCTGTTCATGATAGAAAAATGTGTGCATGTCCAGTGTATTACTGTTAGGTTGAGACATTTCACTGGCAGTGGTGGGAATGCAGACAACAAACAACAATATCTGGTTCCGACCTGGGCTAGAGCTAAATGCGTCCTGGGTTGGAGGTTCACTTCTATCACCAAGCCCTACCAGAAGCAAGGGAGATTTGACCTAGGGGGCTCCCTCTGGCCCGGGCCTTACCAATAGTGGCACTCAGCTACAACATACACCTATCGGTTTTGTTTTTTTTTTCTCTAATTCTTTTCAGTCCAGTCTCTTGTATGCTTGAATCTCCTGTCTGTTTGGTAGTCTGACTTTGCAGGAATGTAGCAGCAATTTTGAATGAATTGGTTACTTTGAGTTTTAGAAATGTAAGTCCTTAAAGATCTTGAAAATGATTTTGGTGATGAGCTGCCACAGCTAGTTGTTCATCCAGTGGCCTGGGAAATGCAGAACCATGAATACCATGCCTGTTAGACCTGGAACAGGCGATGGCACCCTCCTTGAGAAAATGTGATTTTAACTGAGAAGCAGTATTTCTGGAAAATTTTTCCACTGGCTTTCTCCTATTGTTGTTACCTGTAATTTCATCATCTTTTCATTTAATTCTGTTCAGTATGATGTCTTTGGGACCAGTGGGTATTTTTATTTGCTTGTAGAAGTGTTTGTTCTTAGGGCTATGCTATGACTCAGGAAGGCCAGCCCCACCCACTCTCTTGTTGCTTGGCACCAATCCTCCCTGGTTGTTGGGCATCTTGTTTACTTCTGCCCTTAATTCCCTGCAGGTGCGTAAGTACAAGAGCATGATCCTGGAAGACCTGGAGTCTGCTCTGGCAGAACACGCCCCTGCGCCACAGGAGGTTAATTCAGAACTGCCACCTCTCACCATCGACGGAATTCCAGTCTCTGTGGACAAAATGACCCAGGTAAGGGGTGGGAGGTGAGGAAGAGACTCAGAGGCAAGTGGCACAGGTGTGGGCGGGCCTCTGATCACTTTTCTGCATTTTGTCCTCAGTGATCTGACCAGGGAGTGAGATGCAGACTGGAGTCTGGTAGTGAAACAGTAGCAGCCTTGGAAAAGACATTGTAGTGCCAGAAGAGTGCTCCCAACCAAGGGCATGGCTGTGGTGTCCTCTTTCTTCTGGCGTTTTTTTTTTCCCTTTCACTTGGTCCTTTGGGTTGGATTAAAAAAAAAAAAAAAAAAAAACTTTTAGCTTGGGGTTGGTCTGAACAAAAGAACATTAGGAGTTTGATGAATCACAATCAAGGTGGCCAAGTAAACTTTTAGCCCTCGGGCTGCTCTGCTCCTCTTTCAATGTAAATCCTGAATACCTCCATAATTATTACTAAGTACAGCTCCCTTCCACAGGGAATAAGAATGTAAAACTCAGAATGACAGTCTTCTGAGTCGTTGATTTGATCTTCCTTTTTAAAATTTTTGTTTACTTTTTTTTAATTTTGTGATTTCTAAAGATGGGGATCTCACTGTGTTGCCCAGGCTGATCTCAATCTCCTAGGCTCAAGCGATCCTCCTGCCTCAGCCTCCCAAAGTACTGGGATTATAGGCGTACGCTGCTGTGCCAGCCTGATTTCCTCTTCCTTTAAGAAGGGAAGTCAAAATGTACTTAGCCTGATAAATCAGCATACCTCAGTAATTTTTATGAGATTATCCCTTTTATATATTTTTAGTTTAGCTTGATCAAAATCAAACACCTTTTTAACATATTTTCCTATCCTATTTCTTTTTTTTGAGCCGGAGTCTCGATCCGTAGCCCAGGCTGGAGTGCAGTGATGCGATCTTGGCTTACACTGCACTTGGCTCACTGCAACCTCCGCCTCCCGGGTTCAAGAGGTTCTCATGCCTCCGAGTAGCTGTGATTACAGGTGTGCGCTACCACACCTGGCTAATTTTTGTTTTTTTAGTAGAGATGGGATTTTGCCATGTTGGCCAGGATGGTCACAAACTCCTGACCTCATGTGATCCCCCTCCTGGCCTCCCAAAGTGCTGGGATTACAGGTGTGAGCCACCACGCCCAGCCTACCCTGTTTCTTTATTAATTTACTTCTCTCTTGCTAAATCCACTTGTCAGGTTTTTTTCCTTATCTTAGTCAGTCTTCAGCACCTTTTGACACAGTTGATTACTCCTTAAAGCATCTTCTCTCTGTCTGTTGACCGCACCCTCTTCTGAAGATCCTCATCCCTTACTAGGTGCTCCCCTCATCCCTTCTGGGGCCCCTCTTCCTCTTCTCACCTGATCATCGATATGCTGTTTTCACCCAGCTTACGTTCACTGTTAGATGTCTGGTCCTCACATGCCCCAAACAGAACCTTTGGTTGTTCCTGCTCTGTACGCCACATCTGTTCCTCTCCAAGTGTTCCCCATATCAGTTAATGGAACTGCTGTCCATCTGGTTGCTCAAGTCCCAGCATGGAAGTAATCCTGATTTCCCTGTTTTGCCCTCTCCCTCCACAGTCCCCTGCCATCCTCCACATCTAATTCAGCATCAGGTCATGTCAGTTCACCTCTGAAATGTACTCTGACACTGGCCATTCTTCTCACTTCCCGTCAGCACCCAAGTCCAAGCCTTTAGCATCTCTTGTATAGCCTATCCACTGTGGTCTGCTGCAGTCCATTCTCCACGTAGCCATCCTAGTAGTTTTTTAAAAAACTTACATCATGCAGGGCGTTGTAGCTCACGCCTGTAATCAAGAGGAGGATCCCTTGAGTCCAGGAGTTTGAGATCAGCCTGGGCAGCAGGCTGGAATTTTTTTTTTTTTTTTTGTCTCTACAAAAAATACAAAAATTAGCCAGGGCATGGTGGTGTGTGCCTGTAGTCTCAAATACTTGGAAGGCTGAGGTGGGAGGATCGTTTGGGCCCGGGAGGTTGAGGCTACAGTGACCCAAGATTGTGCCACTGCACTCTAGCCTGGGTGACAGAGCGAGATCCTGCCTCAAATAAATGAGTGAATGAATGAATAAATTTATTTATTTATTTAATTCAGGCCGTATCACTTCCTTGTTTACGCCCTTTAATGGTTTTCCACTATTCCTAGAATCGAATTCAGACTGTGCTGTGGCCTTGAAGGCCCTATGTAATCTGGCCTCTTCCTGCCTCATCTTCTTCCCCTCAGTCACTGGGCTCCGACCACTCTAACCCTCTTTTCCTCAAACACCCTGCATCCATTCTTTTGCTTTTGCTATTCCCTTTACCTGAATATTGTTCTGCCAGATGATTGCATGATGGACTTTATCTTATTCAAAGTCTAGCTCAAATATCACCTCCTGAGACAAGCCTTTCTTGATTATCCCACCTAAATGAAGCTTTCTTCTTCCCCACCAAGCCACTAATACATCTTCTGTGTTCTTGTCTGTGTAACACTTGTTACTACCTGAAATAATCCCATTTGTTAACTTGTATACTTATTTGTGGTCTCCCCAGCTAGAATTTGAGGAATTTAGTTTCTGTCGTTTACTTCTGTTCAGTATAGCTGCTCAGCCTCTGAAATAACATGTCATCTAAATAATAGTGTCTGTTCAGTAAATGACTTCAGGGTTAGAGCAAAAATGAGTTAAGTGTAATGGTGGGGAACAGGATCGCAAGTCCCCTGGGCAGGTGTTGACCCAGTGCAGACGCTGATGCTGCTGCTCGGGGTGGCACTTTTATTTTTTATTCCATCTGAACCAGCAACTTGGTCTGAAGTAATACTACATTTTATAAATATAAACGTAAATAGTGATCTTTTGATTGTTGGATTCATAGCCCTTTCTGTGGACACTGGAAAGATCTCCAAATAATGGTTCAGAAAGGAAAGCATTATCTAAACTAAGCTTGCCCAATCCACATCCCGCAAGACGCATGCGACCCAGGATGGCTTTGAATGTGGCCCAATACAAATTCGTAAACTTTCTTAAAACATTATGAGATTTTTTGGCAATTTTTTTTTCTTTAGCTCATCAGCTATTATTAATGTTAGTATATTTTATGTGTGGCCCCAGATAATTCTTCCTCTAATGTGGCCAAGGGAAGCCGAAAGATTTGGCACCCCGATCTAAACTTTTCTTTACTGTCTTTTAACAGTTTCTATTATTCTGTTTCTAGAGGCATTCTGACTGGTTCAAGTAAAGAAAACATAAAGTGAATTATTTTTATCTGGTTGATGTAAAGAGTCGACTCTGTCTCAGATGTAAAGTATATCTAAAACTGCCTAAGCCTTTGGTTTCGAATGCTGTGTTAGGTTAACTCCTCTCCTGTGATGGGTATTTGTTATTCTTTGTCACATTTGGTGTGCTAGGGTAAAACAGTCTGAGGTTTTGATTATATTAAATCATTGTGGATACTGGTTTTCATGAAATTGGCTAGTGGCCGCAGAAGTCAGCAAACAGTTTAGTTATTATCATTTTGGAGGTAAGACATTTGAAAGTGTTGTTTTCCATTTTTATCAAAACCACACTCGGTAGAGCTTGGTGTGCTGGTGAATGAGGAGCTGGATCTCAGTTGTCAAACGCATAGATGCGTTGCTGGAGGTGCACATTTTCTCTATCATATGCTCCCTCCTTCCCCTTCTTACCAAAGATGATGACTAAAAAGTCAAACATAACAAATAAAATAAAACAAACAAATGAGGAGGAAGAGGGAGCAGGATGATGAAAAACCCAGCTCCCAACTGAATGGGAATTTCCAAGTATTTGGATCCTGGCATTTTCTCCCCTCAACGTTTTATTGTTGTTTGTTTTCCTCAAATACTTTTTTCTTAATCTGAGCTAAATAGCTAGCTCTCTCTCTCTCTCTCTCTCTGTCTCTTTTTTTTTTTTTTTTTCTAAGACGGAGTCTCGCTCTATTGCCCAGGCTGAAGTGCAATGGCGTGATCTCAGCTCACTGCAACCTCTGCCTCCCGGGTTGAAGCAATTATCCCACCTCAGCCTCCTGAGTAGCTGGGACTACAGGCATGCACCACCATGCCTGCCTAATTTTTTTGTATTTTTAGTAGAGTTGGGGTTTCACCACGTTGGCCAGACTGCTCGCCAACTCCTGACCTCAAGTGATCTGCACGTCTTGGCCTCCCAAAGTGCTGGGATTACAGGCATAAGCCACTGTGCCTGGCCAATAGCTCTCTTTTATAATTGATCCTAAAGACTTTCACTATTAATGGGAGTAAAAGGAGGGTTTTATTTCCACCCAAACCTAGATAGGCAAGGGTATGGGACTACAAGCAGTCTAATGCACTGTTAGTGGGAATGCAGATTGGTACACTTTCTCTAGAGGGCAGGTTGGTGTTGGCAATGCATATCAAAGTCTAAAAGGTGTATATCATGCCCTCCAATTAAACACAGATGTACATTGTTTATTACAGCATGTCTACAGTAGGAAAATTGGGAACAATGTGATTGGTTAAATTACGATAGTGTTTAGAATTTATATAGGAAGACGAGCAGCATAGCCCAAAAGAGATGATACGGTGAACTGTTAGACACTAAAAATGATGATTTGCTCTTTATTGCAGTAGAATAATATTTGTGGTATGTTAAATTTAAAAAAAACTGTAAAGTAGAATTTTTTATATACTGTAATTTGAGAAGTTTAGGGCTTTACTTTTCAGTTTCTTTTGGGAGATTTTTAAAAAATTCTGGGAACACAGAATTGAGCTGATTTATCTCATTTTCTGTAACATTAACATAAAATATGCCCACCTCTGTGTGTATAGAACTTTGGAGGGGTGCACATATTAACACTGGGCACAGTGGCTCACATCTGTAATCGCAGCACTTTGGGAGGCTGAGGCGGGTGGATCACCTGAGGTCAGGAGAGCAGCCTGGCCAACATGGTGAAACCCTGTCTCTACTAAAAATACAAAAATCAGCCGGGTGTGTTGGCATGCCCCTGTAATCCAGCTACTCGGGAGGTTGAGGCAGGAGAATCGTCTGAA